GAGAGGATCTCATTGCCTAAGTCCCCTAGTTGGCGTCACCACCCCTCCTATCGAACCATTAACCAGAACATTATAAGAGACAGTAAATACACACAAAATTATCAAATCAATCCATCTATTAGCAAAACTAAGAGCCCTCATCATACCTCTCAGGAATGATCACTCCATCTTATCATATGCCTTAGCCATATCTAATTTCAGGGCCCCCCAACCGGCCTTACCACACTGCTTCCTATTCAAGAAATGGCCGATCTCAACAGCAATAAGAATATTACAAAAGAAGGGTAGCGGATGCTTTAAAAAATAATAATAAATTAATAGTATTCGCTACCCTTCTATTTAAAGAAGGGTAGCAGATGCGTTTAAAAAAAATATCCGCTACCCTTTTTAATAAAAAAGGGTAGCGGATGCTCAACTTTCTGCTACTCTTGTAAAAGGGTAGCGAAAAGATCACGACTTTCAGCGTCCCCCATATCTGCTACCTTTGTACAAGGGTAGCGAATGACTCACTACAAGGGTAGCGGATGTGCATATCTGTACTAGTGCAACACGGTTTAGGAACCTCAATCCATTTTCTAGTGTTCTAGTGAAAATAATTAAAATTAATTACTTTTACAAATAATTTAGGATTAAAAATTCATTTTGCATCCATCGAGTTCAATCAAGCTCATTTAATGAGATTATAACATCAGAGAGAGAGAGAGAGAGAGAAAAGGTACAATTAAGCCACCGAACTCGAATAAGCTCCAAATTGAACTTAGAAAAAAAGTGCAATTAGCATTTTTGTAGGTTAACAACAAGTTTGCTGATTAGGATGCCATTATATATTTTTTTTATTTTATTATTTTTATTATCCTACTTTGACAAAAAATAAAATAAAAAATAAAAAATTAGAATATAGCTTGATCTCGAAGTTATTTTGCAATAGAATATACCCACCGGAAATAAAAGAATCTTATAATATACTCTGCCAGGAATGTTGTTGATCAGATTCTTTAAAAACCCATGCTGAACAGCAAGCTGAATGTGGTCCAAAATTGAAGAAAAGGAAAAAAGGGTGTGAGGGAGTAAGGGTATGAAGTCAATCTGTAGGTCCAAAATTGAACAACAATGAATTAAGATAAAAAGTATTTTTATGATTTATTTATATAATGTAACAAACTTTTTTGTTCAAATCCAAATTATTCTCGAAATCACCTAAATGAATAGCACATGATCATAACCATAAAGAACAATGTTTCAGTCTCATATGTAATATTTTTTACTTTTGAGTGTCTTAAAATGGTCCTACAGATTGACTTCATACATCAATTCTCAGGCTCACCAATAAAGTCACATTTGAAAGACATACGAGGAAGGTTCATTGTTCATTTTTGCAAGCATATTTGCAGGCAAGGCAAGAGTGTCGGAGTGAACAAGCGGTATTAATTTCCATTCATAATTTCACAGCACTTTTATGTACATGGATTACAAGAATGTACCAACGTCCAACCTCAATCCATATATATGATGAAAAGATGGAATTAGTTGATATTGAACTTGTTCAGGTCGGTCAAAATGGAGTCCGCCGCGACGCTGTAAACCGTCACCTGCTTACCCGATGTCTTTACATATTGGTCCTCAACCCCGACGGTTCCAAGCTTTTCCATACACCATCTGACGCCGTCGATGGAGGTCATAAGCGATAAGCTAGCGTCTTCGCTGGCGCCCATCTCGGACAACGCCGCGGGGTGTTTAAGGATGTTGGCGGCCATCCTGAGTTGCAAGGCCGTGCTGTCCAAGAGCCTTGCGCACTCGGCATACGCCGTCTTCACGGCAGGACTCCTCGCGACCTTGTTCGCCGCGTACTTGCGCATCCCCTCCGCGTTGGCCAATCCCGACTCGGCGATTGCGGCGGCCATCGACTCTTGAGATGATGCCGACGCGACTAGGGGCTCTTTCGAGAGGTGGTTGATGCAGAACTCGTGGTCGAAGGTATTGTTGCAGGCTCTTTGGATGAGGGTGAGGTTTAAAGGAGAGGCTGTGGATGGTGAAACCATCGAGAGGAAACATAAAAGAGTGCCAATATTCATAAGGGAAACCATAACATTATTTGTTAAAGAACCCATGTTATTGGGGAATAGATTGATTGGCAAGAAAGGGTACAAATATATTATTAAAGAGTGTGCCCTTCCAAGCTAGATAATGTTTCCTCGACGTTGGCTTGACGAAAATGGAGTTGAGCAATGCATTATATAGATGGTCTTGGAGGGTATTGGGATAGAGATTACAACAACAATTTATGATTGGACGATTATTTAGGGATTATGTGTCATTCCCCGCTTAAATAGCAATACAATCTGATATGATCGTTAAATGGTTAATGCCAATGGCTAATATAAGGTTGAGGATTACTTGAGCTTGCTTGCCTTTAAACACATTTTTTTTTTATACGGTTCTAATTGTTTTGTATGATTATGGGAATTGAAAAGTTAATAGTATATAAAATAATGTACTTTCAATACTCAAATAATGTTTATGTTTTCATGATATGATTTTTTTAGGTATATCCAGGGTTTCCACCGTCGAAAAAAGTGACTAATCTCCTTGCTGAATTGTAGGCATATCTTTTTGGTGGGCAGCTGGCCTGGAGATTTAAGATTGCTCCATACTCAAAGTCAAGAATCGAACCTTTGCCCGCACAGACTTAGCTCAATGATTCAGTGGATAGTATTTAGGAGAAGGATCGAATCCTTGATATGATGCACGTCAATCTATAGCTATCAATCACTCTTATCCGAATCCTAAATAAGCTAAGCAACAAGTTTAGGGTTTATATTTTCTAATCCTAAGAAGCCAAGACATTAACGCGGTTAAATTTATTAATTTTTTGGGTTAAATATCAGTTACCCTATAAGTACTTGATAGAGTTAATACATGCTTTGGTCCCTCAACTATACACATTTACTTAATTTTATGCTTAACTTTTAAAGTTACCTATTTTGGTCATTTGACTATTGATTTTGTACCTAATTTGATTCCCCCGTTAGAAAATCATTAAGTGACCTTGACTTTAAAAGTTACCTATTTTGGTTCTTTGACTATTGATTTTGTACCCAATTTGGTCCCAGTTAAGAAAATCATTAAGTGTCTATTAAATTCAAGGATAATTTTGAATTATTTCAAGCATATTACTTCAATAATCGAGGGACTAATTTAGAAAGTAACTCTTTTGAGAATTTGTTTTATGTCAATATTTTTCCTTATTAATTTTTGAACTACATTTAAAGAATCACAATATGATCAAGCACTAATTGTGTGTCTATTTGACACTTTCTTTTTCATTTCTAAGATTTTTACTTTTCACTTAGATGAAGATGAAAATATGTGTTGTTTCTTCAAAATTATAGTCCATTATTCACAAGTTTTAATAGGATAGCATTCTCAAGTTTTAATATCAAGCTTTGAAGTTATAACTTAGTGTGTTCCATTTGACCAATTAACATACATTTATTGAACAATTTTAAGCCATACAATATAAAATATACACAAAAATACAATAGGATGGTTTTCGGTTGTTGATAGTCTAGTTTGAAACAACACATATTTTCATGTAAGTGAAAATTTTGAAAATAAAGAGAGTATAAAATAGACACACAATTAGTGTTTGATCATGGTGTAATTCTTTTTTTTTTTTTTTTTTTTTTTTTTTTTTTTTTTTTTTTTTTTTACATTTCAAAAATTAAAAAGGAAAAAATTTCATATAAAAAAATTACTAAAGAGTTAATTTTTAAATTGGTCCCTCGACTATTGAAATAATGTTGAAAATAATCCCTTAACAATTAAAATTCTCATTTTACCCTCAAATTTAATTGTCATTTAATATTTTCCTAACGGAGGATCGAATTGCATACAAAATCAATAGTCAAATGACCAAAATATGTAACTTTTAAACTCAAGGACAAAATTAAGTAAATGTGCATAGATAAGGGACCAAATCAGGTATTAACGTACTTTGAAACTAATTAATACAGAGTAATAATTAGAGCAAATACAAATTTTAGTCCCACGAGTATTAGCAAAATGACAGTTTTGGACCACATGTTTAATTCCTACCAATTTTTGTCCACAACTATTATTTTAGTGTAAAAAAATCGTCACGCTGGTAACCCGTCCGTTTAAGACATCCGAAATCGAAAAATTTTTAAAGGTATTTTCGTCATTTTCAACTTAAGATCTCAATTTGAGCATGAATAAATGGATTTAAGCCCTAAGATCGGTCCCAATTCGCAGTTCGCCTCCTCATCCTACTTTAATTTGAGGAGGATAATTGTAAATAGGGATCGATCTTAGGGCTTCAGTCCCTTTATTCATGTTCAAATTGGGATCTTAATTTGAAAAAAAGATGAAGAGACCCTTAATAATTTCATATTTCGGTATGTCTTAGGTAAAGAGGTGACCGGCGTGATGAATTTTGGTACTAAAACAATAATCGTGGATGAAAATTGATAGGAATTAAACATGTGCACCAAAACTATTATCATCATCACCATCATCCAAACAAAACGATATACAAAATAAAATTAAAATTAATAAGAAATAAGAAGAAGAAGAAAACAAAAAGAAGCTACGGGCTCCCCTTTGTAAATGATGTTGGATCATTTTGATCCCACATTGAAAATATTTGGAAAAGGAGCTCTTGAGCTCCTCTATATAAGAGGAGCTGCTCTAAGTTATTAAATAATATTTTTGATGTTTTGATTAAATATAAAATGTTAAACAAGCAAATTTTTTTTTAAAATTTTGGAGAATTCTCCAAATAATCAAATTACAATAACAATAAGCAACATTAAAAGCTTTGATACATCTAAAAACTTTCTCTCTAGAACTCTCTCTAGAGCTCCGTTTGTTTCCTAGGGTTTGGCTAGGGTATCTGGCAGTTCTCGACTTTTATCACAGGCGGCAGTGGTCTCCGACAAAGCTATCGACGACCGAACAGCTTCTTGGCGACAGTGAGGCTGATGGAGCTGAACAGACAGGCGACAGACGACGCCCTCCCGACGCTCGAACGGGCAGACAGGATGGTTGAGCGGCTTATCGAACGGGCAGACAGGATGGTTGAGCGGCTTACCCAGCGGTGGGCTGATATAGAATTGAAGGAGGAGGAAGAGGTGGGTTTTGAACCGGTGGGGGAGGATGTTGGTGTGGTTGCGGAAGAGGAGGAGCAGCGGTGGGTGTGTGTTGGTCGTTTCTTGACGACCAAGGTAGTGAAACTGGAATATATGCGGCAGGTTATGGCCTCAGTTTGGCAACCGGTGTGGGGTATGCAGGTTACGGAGATTCAACCGGTACTGTTTATGTTTATCTTCTATGATGAGACTGATATGCAGAGAGTTCTTGATGAAGGTCCATGGTCGTTTGATAATAGCACCCTCGTTTGTAGACAGGTGGAGGCAGGTGCTCGGCCGGCAGCGTTTTAGTTGAACTCGGTGGATATGTGGGTGCAACTCTATGACTTACCGTTGGGATATACTTCAGAGGCGGTTCTTGAACAAGCTGCTAATTTTATTGGCTCGTTTGTTAAAGTCGATGGTCGTTATCCATGGGCACCGTGGAAGACGTTTCACCGGGTCCGAGTCTCAATTCCGGTGGACAAGCCGCTAAAGCGAAGAATGAAGCTTTTTAAGCGGGATAAAACAAGCTGTTGGGTGAATTTTCGGTATGAGCCTTTACATAACTTTTGCTTTTATTGTGGTTTACTGGGGCATGGCTATAAGTTTTGTAAGTTGGCGAGGAAATCCGGATTAACCGCAGACAAGTTCCCGTACACGGCAGACCTGAAGGTAGGGGGAGGTAGCCGGGGACCGAGGCAGGTGGGGGAGCCGTGGTTGATACCTCTTGAGGAGAAGGGGAAGGGAGTGGTGGGATGGGATGAGAGGGGAAAGGGTACGTGAATTGGAGGATTAGGAGGCGTGGAGGAGGTACGGTTTGCAGAGGTGAGGGCGGGTGAGGGGGTGGTGGTTGCGGCTTCTAAGAGAAGGAGGGTGGATGGGGTGGATGGTGGTGGTTTAAGAATGGATGCGGGAGATGTGGTTATGGAAGAATTCTCAAAAAACGGTGTTATGGCGGGTCCTGGTGGTCAGGCCTGCCCATCGCAATGAGTACAATAAGTTGGAACTGTCGTGGCTTGGGCAATCCACAGATAGTTCGAGAAGTGGTGGACATGGTGTCCCGTAATAAGCCCAATTCCGTCTACTTAATGGAAACTAAAGTAGAACGAAGTCATGCAGAGAGATTACGTATCAAGATTGGTTTTGAGGGTCTGTTTTACGTAGATAATGAAGGGAGAGGGGGTGGCTTGGCATTATTATGGAGGAAGAATAATACTGCTAAGCTGTTGAGTTATTCAAAGAACCACGTGGATGTGGAGGTAGCTATAAGGGAGAAGATATGGCGTATGGCGTGCTTCTATGGGTTCCCGTAGAGGCATAGGCGTAGGGAGGCCTGGCAGCTATTGAGTGGTTTGAAGGAAAAATCTACATTGCCCTGGGTGGTAGTGGGAGATTTTAATGATTTGATGTATCAACATGAGAAGAGAGGGGGGAACCCGCATTCGGTAAGTCTCCTCAGGGGCTTTGGGGACACAGTACACAGCTGTGGTCTCTTTCAATTGCCGATGAGGGGTCACCAGTTTACATGGGAGAAGGGGAAGGGAACTGAGAGGTGGTTGGAGGAGAGGCTGGATAAGGTGTTGGTGACAGCACAATGGACTCATCTGCTTGGTGAGGCATGGGTTGAAAATATACTCACTCGGAAATCTGACCACTCGGCTCTCTTCCTAAACACCGATATTGCACTGGTGCGCAGGCAGGGGGGACCGAGACGGTTTCGATTTGAGATGGCATGGGTTCATGATGAGGGTTGTAGGAGTGTGGTGGAGACTGCCTGGCAGGATGGAAGGGATAAGGGGTTGTTGATTTGTTAAACATTGTGGATGGAGGCTCATGCGATGGGGGGGGGGGGGGGGGGGGGGGGGGGTGACATTGGCATAAGTTCGGTGACCGCATAAAGCAGTTGAGGAAGGAGCAGGATGCACTGCGCCATAGGCGGGACTCGGCTGCATTGGCTGAGTTTCGCAATCTCGAGGAAAGGCTGGGCCAATTGGAAGTGCAGGAGGATGTTTTTTGGAGGCAACGGGCAAAGCAACACGGGCAAAGCAACCCTGAGAGATTGAATGACACTAATGTGATTTTAATTCCGAAGAAGAATGTGCCTAAGACAGTATCTGATATGAGACCGATAGCACTAAGTAATGTGTTATACAGAATTATGGCAAAGGTAATAGCCAATAGGATGAAACCACTTATAGGGGACCTCATCTCAGAGGCTCAGAGTGCTTTTATTCCTGAGAGGCTTATTATAGATAATATTCTTATAGCTGCGGAAGTGGGGCACTATTTGAATAGGAAGCAGTGTGGTCAGAAGGGCTGGGGAGCATTGAAATTAGATATGGCGAAGGCATATGATAGAATGGAATGGCAGTTTTTGAGAAGGATGTTGGAGGTAATGGGTTTTGATGACCTGTGGATTAATTTATTGATGCAGTGTGTCACTACTGTCCAGTATAACATCCTGATTAACGGTGTTGCTAGTGGGGGTGTAACGCCGACCAGGGGGTTAAAGCAAGGAAATCCTTTGTCTCCGTATTTATTTATCATCTGTGCTGAGGGACTATCTATGCTATTACAAAGAGCACAGATGGCTGGCTCAATACATGGCTGCAGAGTGGCAAGGGGAGCCCCACAGATATCACACTTATTTTTTGCGGATGATAGCCTATTGTTCTTTAAAGCGAATGATCAGGATGCATGAGTAATTAAGCAGTGTCTGGGACGATATGAGGAGCTGTCAGGACAGAAGGTGAACTATCACAAGTTCAGTATCTGTTTTAGCAGGAATACCAGTGTGGAGGACAGGGAAGTGGTGGCAACTTGTTTACAGGTAGATCATGCACCCAATTTTGGGAAATATCTGGTTTTACCATCTTTTGTAGGGAGGAATAAAAGGGCAGTGTTCTCATATATTGAGGATAAAATAAAACAGAGGATTGACTCATGGAATAAGAAATTTTTGTCAGAGGCAGGAAAGGAAATTCTTTTGAAAAGTGTGGCACAATCCATGCTTACCATTTCAATGAGTGTTTTCTTGATCCCAGACACAGTGTGTTTATCAATTCAAAGAACAATGAACAAGTATTGGTTGGGTATTGGTATGGACAGGGGAATACACTAGAAAGCTTGTGATAAGCTGAGTATCCCAAAGAAATTTGGGGGGACGGGATTTAAGGATCTCAGGGGTTTTAATGTGGCTATGTTGGGAAAGCAAGCATGGCGGGTACTCACAGGTTCTAATTCCCTTGTTGCAAAGGTCTATAAGGCTCGGTACTATCGGAGTACCTCTTTTATTGATGATAAAGTAGGAGGATGCCTAAGTTACTCATGGAGGAGTATTATGGCAGCCCATGATATGGTGGTGGCACGGGTGTGGAGGAGAATTAGGGATTGTAAAACGACATTAATCTGGGGACACCCATGGCTACCTGATAATCCTAGCCCCCTTATACAAACAAATATATGCTAGTCGAGCTCAGACATGCTAAGGTAGCAGGTTTGATAGATGAGCAAACTGCTACCTGGGATCCACATATATTAGCAGATTTATTTAATGAGGAAGATGTGGATAGGATACTGAGGATTCCTGTAAGTCCGGGATATGAGGACTCATGGTATTTGCCTGATGACCCTAATGGGGTATATACAGTTAAGAATGCCTACAGGAACATTATGGGAATTTATAACCACTCACCAGGGGATTTTGAGAAATGGACTACAATGTGGGGGATGAAGGTACCTACAAAATGGAAGACTTTTTTATGGAGAGCAATTTGTGATGTTCTTCCTACAACTAATAATATGATTATAAAGAGGGTTGAAGTGGATCCCACATGCCAAATGTGTGGGGTGGAACATGAGGATGTGATGCATACATTGATTACTTGTGATTATTCTAGATATGTTTGGAATATTTCAGGATTGCCTGTAACAAATATTGTTGTCAACTCTTTCCCCGAGTGGTTAACGGCTGTGCTTACAATGTTAACAGAGGATCAAAGTGGAGCCGTAGTGGCGCTGCTTTATCATCTATGGAGATGCAGGAATTCGGCCGTATGGGACGCCACACTTCCTCACCCTACAGCAGCATGGAGACAAGCCACGGCGGCACTGCAGTCATTCCGGCAGAATGCACGCCGCTGCCCAGCTGCATCCTCGGCTACTATGGTGGAGAGTGGGGAAGACGCCATGCCGCGATGTTTTGTGGACGCTGGCTACCGGGAGGGAATGGGGGAGGCTACATACGGCATTGTCTTGTTGTCTCCCGAAGGGTCCTTTTTTGCGGCAAAAAACGGAAGACTCCCGAATTGTTTGTCACCGTTTATGGCGGAGACTTTGGCATGTATGGATGCTCTATACTGGCTACTGGAGAATAATACAACAACGGTCACCCTTCACACAGACTGTATACAACTGAGGACTGCTATACGACAGGAATCAACCAATATAATGTCCTATGTTGGGGTCATAATAGATCAATGTAGGAGTTTAATTTCTTCGTTTAATTATGTTTCGTTAAATTATATCTCTAGGCAGATTGATTCGCATGCGCATACGCTAGCTTCGTTTGCTTTTATTCAGGATCAAGCTATGTATTGATATTATATTCCCCCTGATTGCGTTGCAGCTTTGATTCATTAATACAATCATTCTTTGGCTGGTTTTCAAAAAAAAAAAAAAGAAAAGAAAAACAATAACAATAACAATAACAATAACAATAACAATAACAATAACAATAATAATAATAATTATAATAATAACAATAATAATAATAATAATAATAATAATAATAGTAATAATAATAATAATAATAATTAGAAGGGAAAATTGCATTTTTCGTCACTAAGTTATAGGGTAATTGTAGAATTCGTCCCTGAGTGTTGGTCATGCTCAATTTTCGTCCCTAAGTTATCATTGGTGTTGCACATTCCGTCGCTGAGTTATAGAGTAATTGTAGAATTTGTCCCCGAGTGTTGTTTATGCTCACTTTGCGTCGTTAAGTTATCATTTGCGTTGCACTTTTTGTCCCTGAGTTATACTAAAATTGCAATTTTCGTCCCTAATCACTACTACATAAATGGTATACTACGTCACTTAATAGACAGATGTTTTTTAAATAAACACAATCTTATATATTTTGTTATACTACGTCATTTAATAGACAACGGGTTTTTAAATAACCGCCGTATATAACTTAATTAATGTTTTTTTTACGTCATACACTTTAAATAACCACCAGCGGTTTTTTTACACATACACGACAGTTTTCGAAGTGTCGCGCGTGTAAGTGACTGCCGTTGTAAATATACACTTTCTACGACGGTTTTGGAAATCGTCGTGTATGTTAACTATATACGGTGGTTAAAAAACTGCCGTGTATGTCAACTATATAGGTAGTTATTCAAACAACCGTCGTCTATTAAGTGACGTAGTATAAGTGTATAACACAATATATTAGACAACGGTTATTTAAAAAGTGACGTAGTATACAATTTATGTAGTAGTGATTATGGACGAAATTTGCAATTTTAGTATAACTCAGGGACGAAAAGTGCAATGTCAATGATAACTTAGGGACGGAAAGTGAACATGACCAACACTTAGGGACGAATCCTACAATTACCTTATAACTCAGGGCCGAAAAGTGCAACGCCAATGATAAGTTAGGGACAAAAAGTGAGCATGACCAACACTTAGGGACGAATTCTACAATTACTCTATAACTTAGGGATGAAAAGTGCAATTTTCCCCATTAATAATAATAATAATAATAATAATAATAA